TATAGGGTTTAGGGTTTAGGGTTTAGGTAGGGGCGGGGTAACATGTTGTTGGGTTTTGCTTAAAAAGAACCCCCAAAAGAATCAACATATTCTTCCTCATAAGGGTAAGATGGGGATTGTTTTTTGTTTTTTCATTTTTTTTTTTTGGGGGGGGGGGGGGGTTCTTAAGCAGATGGTAGCTGACTGCCGGGGAGTTGCTTTTCATTAGAGATTTAAGGTGTTGCAGGGGATTTTTTCTTATGGGTTTTGTAGGGTTTTGTAGGGCTCTAAAGGGGTGTCGTAGGGATTTGTGGTTTTTTACACTTAGAGATTTTCGGTGCTTATAGGGTATGTTTTATGGAGTGTTATGGGGTTTGTAGGGCTCTAGAGGGGCGTTCTAGGGATTTGTGGGTCTTTTCAGGATTGCGGCCCTGGAGGCTTGATGTTGATGACCCTGGAACTCTTTTCAAAGCCTAATCCCCGCGGTTTAGGGTTTAGGGTTTAGGGTTTAGGGTTTAGGGTTTAGGGTTTAGGGTTTAGGGTTTAGGGTTTAGGGTTTAGGGTTTAGGCGTGCGCAGTGCAGCTCGCTTCGGCTTAAACTTGAAGGGGTTGCACCTTGGACCCTTAAGGTTGTACCCTTGGGGGGAACTAGGGTTTAGGGTTTAGGGTTTAGGGTTTAGGGTTTAGGGTTTAGGAAGACTTTTTGAGGTAGTATAAGGGCCATGTTAGGAGTATATTGAGGGTAACCTTTAGGGGTACAAGCTTAGGGGTAAGAGTCCTTGTGGGCGCTGTCTCTAAAATTGGGGGCACGTACCTTCTACTGCTATCATGTGACCCCTCTTTAGGTACATGGTCTTAAACACGTTGAAGGTACATGTCGTGGGGTGGGGGGGGTGGGGGGGCTGGAGGTGGGGGGGGTGGGGGGATTTAGGGTTTACGGCTTAAGGAACTTTAGGGGGGAACTTAGGTTTCAGTGGCCCAGGGGTTGCAATTTGTTGTTCATGGTTTGGGGGTTGTGTAGGTTTTCGTCGCTCTCGCACAAGGCAGGCAAGGCTGCAACTTGGGGGATTAATGAGGGTTCCTGAACCCTAAACCCTAAACCCTAAACCCTAAACCCTAAACCCTAAACCCTAAACCGATGTAGGGGCTATTGAGGCGTGAAAAGTTTAGGGGTTGGGTTTAAGGTTAGGGTTTAGGGTTTAGGATTTAGGGTTTAGGGTCCCCCCCCCCCCCTTCCCTTTGAACCACCAAATGCCAAGGTGTTTCGCGTGCCTACTAGAGGGGTCGCAATAAGTACTAGTAGCATTCCCTGTGCAATAATGCGATCTTAACCCCCCAAAACCCAAAGCCTTAAACCCTAAACCCCAAACCTACACCCTACACGCTAAACCCTAAACCCTAAACCCTAAACCCTACACCCTAAACCCTAAACCCTAAACCCCCCAAACCCTATTCCAACTATTCAGGCCCCTATATTACACCTACGCACCCCTTGCCGAGGCGAAGAGGCCTGAGGAGGTCCTAGCACTGGTGGAGGCCGACTTGGGTTTTGAGGGCTTAGGGACTACAGGGATCGGGGGGTTTAGGGTTTAGGGTTTAGGGTTTAGGATCCTTGCTTGAGTTCAGGGATGGGACTGGGGTCAAGGCTCAGGGGTTTTCGGCAGTGGGGCTTATCTTTAGGGTTTACTATGGTGGCTCCCAAAGCCTGTTGTAAGAAAGGGTGCCTCAACAAAGGGTTCAGGGTGTAGGGCAGGGATCACCCTAAACCCTAAACCCTATGGATGCCGTTGTGGAGCCGGCGTCTTGGCCGCTGAGAGAAGCGAAGCTAAGGCATGGCAACCCTAAACCCTAAACCCTAAACCGTCTCAGCTTCAGGGCAACTTATGTCAAGGACACCATGCTATGTGTCAGGCGAAGACTCCCAACTCTTGCCACAGGACCCAAGTACCCGGAAGGCCCACTGGAAGGCCAAGCATGATGGGTTTAGGGTTTAGGGTTTAGGGTTTAGGGTTTAGGGTTTAGGGTTTAGGGTTTAGGGTTTGGGGTTTAGGGCCCTCAGTCCGGCTGCAAAAGAGAGTTTAGGGTTCTGTTCTGGTCTGGTCAGCTTGCAGGCCGATAAAACATCACTCACCTACCTGCCAGTGGCCACTTCTTCAGACTCCCAGACTTGCAAACACCAACCCAAAATCGTCATAAGTCCACCCCCCCCCCCCCCCCCCCCCTAAAGCCTAAATCCTAAAGCCTAAATCCTAAACCCTAAACCCTAAACTCATCAACCCTCAACTCTTCAACCCACTGGCCTTCTCTCCCCCGCAAGACTCCAAGGAGTTGGAGGCTGTTCTTGGCAAGCGCCTGGCCATGCTAAGGCAGCAGGCAGGCACGCAGAGGCGGTTCGAGGACCCCGGTTTCAAGGTCTTAAGGGGTATAAGGAGGGAACCCCAAGAAGAGACCCTTAACCTTCTTCCCCTATGTAAGACCTATATATACCTTGTATAGGCCCCTTTATGCCCTAAGTAGCCCCTAGAGAACCCAAAATCGCCCCTAGGGTCCCTTATAAGGGTCCCTCCTTTAGTCCCTTGAAAGGAGTGGGTTCTCTTAGTCGGGAAGCTATTCAGTTCAGGTTCCGATGTAGTCTAACTGTCTAACCAGGGAATTTGGTACCTTACATCCCCCCATATATTACATCCAAAGCACTATATCATATCTCTTCGTTAAAGGTATGACCCTAAACCCTAAACCCTAAACCCAAAACCCTAGGTATGTAGGGAGTCAGTCACGGGGGGTGATTTCGGGGGCAAAGGCGGCCCTCACCACACCTACACCCGGAGGTTATTTCCCTCTCTTGGGGTACTTTGTTCACGTGATGCCCAACATTTGCTTCCCCGGTTTAGGGTTTAGGGTTTAGGTTTAGGGTTTAGGGTTTAGGGCTTAGGGTTTAGGGTTAGGGTTTAGGGTTTAGGGTTTAGGGTTCCTCTTACTTCGGGTCCTCATCTGATTTAAGGGAGCGTGCCCTTAAATACGAACAGGGATGATGTGAGGAGTCTTCTTTTCGTTTCACGAGGGGTTCAACTATGATTCAAGGAAGACTCCTTCAAAACCAGTTGGGGTCCAGCCCAATCATCGCCCCCCCCAAATCCTAGGAGCCCTATATAAACACTCGAAGCCCTGAATCCTTCTTAGCTTCTGCTGGCCTACGTCCCCTCAATTCAGAAATATCATCGTGGCCTTGGTATTTTGCAAGAAGTTCGCGGAATGGTCGGAATACTCGTGCAGTCCCGCTCAGTTGCTCGGATACAAAAGACAGCGCCGAGATAGCCTAAACCCTAAACCCTATTAAACCCTAAACCCTAAACCTTATTGCAGTCCCCTGCCACGAAGGAAGCCTACGCGTCTCTAGATTCCCCTTCGGACGAGTGGGCCTCTGCCTGGGGATTCTAAGCGCCCTGGCTCTTTCAGGGTTTAGGGTTTAGGGTTTAGGATTTAGGGTTTAGGGTTTAGGGGTTTGTAGGGATTATCCGGTTTATAGGGTCTCTGGGGTTCATAGGGTTTGTACAGGTTACAGGGTTTCTGAATGGCTTTGTGGGATTCAGGGTTGAGGGTTTACGGGGTTTAGGGTTCGGGTTCTGTGTCTTCGAAGCGACGCAGACAGCAGGAAGGCTTCACTGGCGGCTGATCACCCCTTGGCGCAGACCATCAAGGACATCACGGAGGAGGAGCGCTCGAGTGCAAAGGCCATGCCACGTGCCAACTCCGCATCAGGCGTCCAGGATGCCCAGTAGTGCCCTTATTCCCTTTTGTTTTGGGGGCGTTTTAGGTTCCCGTATCAACCCCTGTAAGCAAAAATAGGGCGCCCTCTTCCTAGGTTACGGGCAACCGAGTTTATGGCACAGGGATTTGTTATTTAGGTATTCTTTAGGCGGCTATGGGTCCCTCCTAGCCTCCCCTACAAACAGTTCAGGGCCAGGATTTTTGGTCATTCATTCCCTTTGGCCACGAACTCCTAAGCCCCAAATATCCTAAACCTTAAAACCCTAATCACGCCGTGAAGCCTGAACCCGAACCCTAAGCCCTAAACCTGAAACCCTAAACCCTAAACCCGAAACCCTAAACCCTATATAAACCCTAAACCCTAAACCCTAAACCCAAACCCTAAACCCTAAACCCTAAACCCTGACAGGAGGCACGTGGGCACCACACCCGTGGCTCACGACGACCGCGGACGAGGGCGCAACCTTGTCGGACAAGCGGCCTTAGGTCTCTCAACCGGCCTTAGGGTTTAGGGTTTAGGGTTTAGGGTTTAGGGTTTAGGGTTTAGGGTTTAGGGTTTAGGGTTTAGGGTTTAGGGTTTAGGGTTTAGGGTTTAGGGTCCCAACTCCCAGATCCCCGGGAAAGCCTACAACCCTGAAACCGAAGACCTAAGCCCCTTTTTACTGCACCCGAAGCCCTAGCCTACAATCCCAAGCCAGAGATCCCCCAACACAGCACCGAAGAAGCAGGTGTAGCAGCTGGGGGGCGGAGGAGAAAAAAAAAGTGCGCTGACCTTGCTGCAGGAGATTACTCCGTGATCCGGGGCCTTGGTTTTTTTCTTTTGGGGCGTGTGGCTCGGTGTTTAGCAATTCCGCTCTTTCAATCTTAACCGGCCAGCCCTGCCCCAGCGGGCAAGGGAATTCCCTTACTTGCATGGCAGTGTGCCTTAAACCCTAAACCCTAAACCCTCAACCCTCAACCCTCAACCCTCAACCCTCAACCCTCAACCCTCAACCCTCAACCCTCAACCCTCAACCCTCAACCCTCAACCCTCAAACCTCAACCCTCAACCCTCAACCCTCAACCCTCAACCCTCAACCCTCAACCCTCAACCCTCAACCCTAAACCCTAAACCCTAAACCCTAGACCCTAGACCCTAGACCCTAGACCCTAGACCCTAGACCCTAGACCCTAGACCCTAGACCCTAAACCCTAAAAACCCTAAAGCCAAATCCACGGCAGCTCCGAGCTCCGCATCTCTCTTGTGGGTGCAGGCCAGCAGTCGGGCGGAGCAGAGCAGCACCACAGCCGCAATGCAGGTTTGGTTCAAGGTTTGGGGTTTAGGGTTTGGGGTTTAGGGTTCAAGGTTTGGGGTTTCGGGTTTGGGGTTTAGGGTTTTAGGGTTTGGGGTTTAGGGTTTAGGGTTTGGGGGGTTTGCCAAAGCCTTCCTTTGGGCAGTTCTCCTAAGACATGTGGTTCCCCTTGTAATACGGAGCCCTGTATTTCTAAGGGCACCTTCTAACCCCTAAACCTGAGGGGCCCATGGTGTAGAGGACGGTTCTCTTCCCCTAAACCCTAAACCCTAAACCCTAAACCCTAAACCCTAAACCCTAAACCCTAAACCCTAAACCCTAAACCCTAAACCCTGAACCCTGAACCCTGAACCCTGAACCCTAAACCCTAAACCCTAAACCCTAAACCCTAAACCCTAAACCCTAAACCCTAAACCCTAAACCCTAACTAACCCCTGAACCCTCCTCAAAACCTCCGACATGCTGGAACACTTAAGGGCCCCTGAGCCTCGAAACCCCTTGAACCCCTAAGAGGGCCTTCAAAAGCCCCAAGAAGCCCCTTAAGGCCGTGTAGGTCCTCGCTTCCGCACACCCTGAAGCTCTAGCCAGGTTAGGAGTTATTTTCTTCACATTTATATAAAACCCAAGGGCGCCCTAAACCCTAAACCCTAAGCCCTAAACCCTAAGCCCTAGACCCTAAGCCCTAGACCCTAAACCCTAAACCCTAAACCCTAAACCTCCCCTGCGGCTCCTTTTGTTCCGGGACTTCGCAAAGGCAGCGGCAGGGCGACGATGCCGCTCCCGCCTCAGCCACTGGTACCAGCGAAGTGGCGCCCGGCGAGCTCAACTACGAGGTTTGGGGTTTATGGGGTATGGGGTTTAGGGTTTAGGGTTTAGGGTTTAGGGTGCATTTCGGGCCAGGGCCTTTGAGCATTTGGGGCTTGTGTTTTCTTTTTTTTGTTTGTTTAGGGTTTTGGGCTGGTTCGGGTCAAGGATCGATCTGGGTCCTAAGTAGGGTTCTAAGGAAGCCTTTAGCAACCTCAACTAATGCAGTAAATCCCCCCCCCCCCCCCGACTTGCAGGGGAGGGACCTGAGGCTGGGGAGGGCCATGAGGGATGCAATTTTCCGAATCATCAGAGAGTTGTGCGAAGTTCTGCTGGAGCTTGTTGGGCTATCCCTAAACCCTAAACCCTAAACCCTAAACCCTAAACCCTAAACCCTTATCTGAGAAAAGCTGGCGCCTCAGATCCTAGATGTTCACAGGCCCTCAGAGCCTGACTTGCCTCAAATTGTCCCAAGCCCCACCGGAGTACCCTTTTAAGGGAAAACGTGCCTTAGCAGTTGGTGTATATATATATATATATATAGTAGCATATATATATATATATATGCTACTACAGATATATATGCTACTATATATATATATATATGTATATAGTGTATATATATATATCCTTTTGTGAAGGAGATATACGTTGCTCTTGCCTAATTGCGCCAGGAAATCGTGGAGAAGCCTGGCAAGGCTGGGACGGGGCAGAGGAAGGCTTAAGGCACCCAACCTTCGTGGCTGCAACGCGCCGAAGCCCGTATCCTGAGCCATGTGAATTCTGAACCTTGAACCGTGAACACCCTAAACCCTAAACCTCCCTAAACCCCAAACCCTAAACCCTCAGTGTGTGCCTCGCCTGGCCTGTCCGAGTGTGCCCGATTAACCCCCAAACCCTCAACACAGAGCGCTAAACTGCAGCGATCCAAGCCCTGGAGCGTAGAGATGGATGCATGTTGCAAGGGGCTTCTGGAGTTTGGGAGTTCGGGTTTAGGGTATAGCGTAGAAGGGCTTTTGTGATATGCAGGCATGTATGCAGTCCTAAACCCTACCCCTAAATCCTAAACCCTGGACCCGAAACCCTAAACCCTGAGAACCCTAAACCCTAAACCCTGCGCACCCTAAACCCTAAACCCCAAACCCCAAACCCTAAACCCTAAGCAAAAAGCCCTGAACCCTAAACCCTAAACCCTAAACCTGAACCCCTCAAGGGGTTGCAGGGTTGGGGGGTCCCTGGGTTGAGGGTTCAGGGATCTCCCGACCAGGATGGAGACGAAGAGTCTGCGGGCTCGGACGACTCGGCCTTCCGGCCGCGATTTTCCTAGGGTTTAGGGTTTAGGTTTAGGGTTTAGGGTTTAGGTTTAGGGTTTGGGGTTTAGGGTTAGCAGAGTCCGGGGGGTTGATGATGGATTTGGGATGAGTTGAGGGTGACATGAAGGGAAGCTGCCTGTGTGCCGGCAGCCTCTAAAGTCCGTTGCTCAACAATGGTGGCGTTTTCTTGCGTTCGGGGGTCCAAAGGAGTGGCGGGCCCCTAACCCAACTCGAGAAGCATTTATCATTCAAGGCAAAATGCACAGCCGGAGTTTCATCTAAGTGAGTTCATCCCGGGTCCAAGATGCACACGAGGACCCAGAGTGTTTACTTGGGTTTAGGCTCCCACATCCCCAAAGAAGTGCACCCTTGTTATTCCTAGGCTACTCTTGGGTCTAGCACCAAGAAGTGTAAGACATTCCAAAGCTACTCGCTAAGGAAGAACAAGAGTCTGGCAACCCGAAAAGCCCTAAGTCCTAGGCCCTCTCTAAACCCTAAACCCTAAACCCTAGAGGGATTGCTGCAGTGGTTATTGCAGGTAGTGCCGACGTACGTCCCACCTAGACCTTCTTCCTCCCTTAGTGAGGGACATGGCTCTAGGGGCCTAGGGCTTCTGGAAGAGCTCCTCAGGGTTTAGGGTTCGTGGGGTTTCGGGTTTAGGGGTTTAGGGTTTGTAGAGTTTGTAGAGTTTGTAGAGTTCGTAGGGTTTGTAGGGTTTGTAGGGTTTGTAGGGTTTTTAGGGTTTTTAGGGTTTAGGGCTTGGAGGGTTTAGGGGTCATGCGTGACTGGCAAAGGAGCTGGATGACGACATTGGCGTCGCCCCTACTGCTTTGCATGCGGCCGTGCGTTCAGGGTTCTGAGGCTTAGGGAGCCTGCGCCACCCCAACCCTAAACCAAAAGAGGGTTTAGGGTTTAGGGTTTAGGAGTTCAGGGTTTAGGGTTAGGGGCTCACAACGTTGTGGCACTGGTTTGGTGGCGGCTCCTGCCACATGCAGCCGCAGAGTTTTTGCGGATGTTGGGTCTGTGATGGCTGTTTGCACTCCCTTCTTGTGCTAGAGTGGGAGCTGCCAGTGCCTTCTCATGGGTTGACCTTCTTGGTGAAACTGTTGTAGGCTTCCTTCAGTTTCAGGCAACATGAAATGTTCAGCCTTTATGTCCCTGGAGGTCGGAGAAGTCTGGCGTATGTACAGGGTACCCCCCCAAAAGCACCAGAACTCTTAGGAACTGACCAAAGAGGTTTGCAATGGCTTCAAGAGGCTCGGGTTTCGGGAGCTCAGTCGGACCAGGGGCAAGAGGGGCCTGGCATTGGAGAGTTCTCCACCGCAAGGTCCCACCGACGAAGAAATCAACGAGATCTTCCTGAAACGCATCTCTCCGCAAAGGGACAGAAGCGGAAATGCATATATGTATATACATATATATGAATGTATAATATATATGTATATATATATACATACATTCCTCCTGATGTATTTCAGAATCTCCACAAGATAAAGCAAATCATGCTTGATACTTAGCACATAGTATTTGACATTGAGGTATCAAAATTTACTATACACAAATGGGCAGAAATGAGAATAAATAAATATATATACATATATATACATATGTTCTATAGTCTGTAAGGTGCCTCCGGGGGGGGGGAGAGGGCGCCTTTTTTCTGAGCCGGCTCGAGAGCAAGAGGGTTAGGGTTGAAATTCAGACTTTTGCAAAGGGTGTGGTAGCGGGGGCTGAAGGGGCGGCCTAGGGGGAAGGACTTAAACCTGGTTCTCTTCGAAAGGAGAACTCAGAGGAAGTTATTCTGGGAACAGGTATGACCTGCCCCATGGGGTTTCTCGAAGGGTGTGCCTGCATCGCTAAGCCCTACGAGGATTTGGAGCATTTGCATGACCCACAGATCCCAATACGGGAAGATTCCTGAAATCATTTTCACATCCTTCTGAAGATGAATTACCTTACATTCTTCAACCAAGGGATATATGATTCACGAGTCGCAGGACCCAAGATACAAACCAAACGGCCTGAAGCTGTTTTGTACAGCTATGGGTTCCGTAAATCCCAGGATACAAGATGTCCAAGGAGGAGCTCCAAGGAATGGAACCCTGAACCCTAAACCCTAAGCCCTAAACCCTAAACCCAGAACCCTGAAATTCCGTAAATCCCAGGATACAAGATGTCCAAGGAGGAGCTCCAGGGAATGGCTGACAAGATGGGCATTCAGCTCAACAACCTCTGCTACCTGAAGCAGGCTTGGGTTTAGGGTATACCAGGCCTCGGGTTTAGGGTTTAGGGTTTAGGGTTTAGGGTTTGGGGTTTGGGGTTTAGGGGTTTAGGGTTCAGGGCTCAGGGATTTTAGATTTTAGGGGTTTGGGGCGGTTGCTCCCCCAAGCCGGGCGGACTTAACAGCCCGTTGCAAGAGGGGTTTGAATTTACTTGGAGGTTCATGGCACTTATTAACCAATTATTACTGTACTTTTCACTGTACTTATAACCAAATTTGGGCACTTAAGGGGCTTATAAGTGGGTTATAAGTACAGTTATGATTGGTTAATAAGTACCCATGAACCTCCAAGTGGGGGTTTGGGCCTGGTGGGATGCTTTGATTTGGGAGTCCAAGGGAAGAGGGTGTCTCGGTGTTTGGGGGCACCCTAAACCCTAAGCCCTAAAGGGGGGCCAAGCCAGAACCTTGCCAGGAGTTCGATGCTTACGACGAAGACCGCAGCGGCTACATCGACGTAAAGGACCCGCAGTCGCAGGTCACGTGTCCCAACCACAAAGAGCCCGGATTTGGCCAAAAATTCATGGTTTAGAGCTGAGGGTTTAGGATTTGGGGATCAGGATTTGGGGTTTTCTTTGTCATAGTGGGATAACATTTTACATTTTTAAGGGTACTTAAACTCAATAAGAATAAAATTTTAAATTTTTATTGCTATCCCAACTATGAACCAGTTTAGGGTTAGGGTCCAGTCTGGGTTCAGAGAGGGGTGTGGTTACCTCGCTATCCCGAACTGCCCTTATGGCTCCGTGGCAGCCAGGCGTCCACAGGTTGCTGCACAGAGGTGCTGTCAGAACTGACAAGATATCTACTCCGTAGATATATAAACATGCGTAAATACATGAACACACGCACACACACACATACATACATACATACATACATACATATATATATATATGTATATATGCATATTCATATTCATACAGGGACACTGTAGTTCAGAGAACCAGCCCTACAAACCCTAGATGCCTTGCACCGTGAAGCCTTTAGAACCCTAGCCCCCCCCCCCCCCCCTCCCCCCTCCTTCTCGTGAGGAGCTGAAAGGGCTCCTGGAAAAGCTGGGCGAGGAGTTGAGCGATGAGGAGTTGGACCAGGATCGCATTGCGGGCCCGGCGTCTCGGGGGTGTAGATCGTTTTGAAGGTGCGCTGTTTGTAGGTACCCGGCAGGGTATACACGTTAAATTCGTAAACAATGCTTAAAGTGCAGTATCTAGTACCTATTACAAAAGCACCCACTGAGACACCAGTAAACCTCCACTTTCCTAGGCTTGCTGCAGGGTCCTGCCGGGTTTGGTTTTGGATACAGGGAATGTAGGGTCACTGTAGGTGTTCTGTCGGCAACGGAAACCCCAAACCCCAAACCCCCAACCCTAAACCCTAAACCCTAACACATACCTCCAGTTTTCTCCTGTCGGCACAGGCTTTTCGCGAGCTTGACAGTGACGGCAGCGGCGAGATCGAGCCACCTGGCAAAAGAGGGTTTAGGGTTTAGGGTTTAGGGCTGGAAAGGAGGAGGGGTGCTTCTTGGATTTGAACATCTTGCAACGCACCAGTCTTCGGCCAAAGGAGAACTCTTCCCAGAAATTCCTCCGCATCCCGGATCGCAGATGCATGGCCAAAGTGAATCCCAACTCCGGTGTCTACAGGCATCGCCCGAAGCCCTAAACCTAGACCCTAGATAAACCCCAGTGTTGCCGCTGTACGTAGCAGGATCGACCTCTTGGTGTTGTACTGTGGCTTCCACCCACGAACAAAGCCCAATGGTCCTAAAATACCAGCTGATCAACGGAGGCCTTCACCCTCCCGCCCGAGAGAAACGAAGTATGTACAATATGTAAGAACAATAAATAGCCAGAACATCCATGACACTAGTGGAAAAACACGACCCCCCTCCCCCCAATAGTAGTCTTGGTCTGTGCGCCTGATGGTTTGTTTGATGGTGGGAAGTAATTACAGGAAATTGTAACGCGTACAGGAAACTACAACTACTTACTTAACATAACATCATGCCCCTAACACGTACAGGAAACCACAACTACTTACTTAGCATAACATCAACAAACCGAGATAGAAAGTACATGTCAGCATATAATAACCACATAATCGACACAAACACGTGTAGTCCATATTGCTTCAACAAATATTCAGGGAGATGTTCTTGGAAATCCAACCTAGCATCGAACACTTTCTGCAACTAGATAAAAGCAAAATAAAAACAGAAACACGAAGGGCTCCTCTAAAGTGTTCTTGCAAGGAGGCCCCTCCTCCCCTAAACCCTAAACCCTAAACCCTAAACCCTAAACCCTAAACCCTAAACCCTAAACCCTAAACCCTAAACCCTAAACCCTAAACCCTAAACTGCGGGGATTCGGCTCGAGCCGCCTCTATGACGCCCTCTTACCATGGGCTGCACGAGCAGCCACACGAAAACCGGAGAAGAGGCTGCTCCTGTCGCCTCGTCCCGCGACCTGGCAGAGCACCTCGGATCTTCGAAGCTTTCGGGGGAAGGGGGGGGGAGGTAGGTAGAGCCCTAAACCTAGCTAGGGCTTAGGGCTTAGGGGCTTAGGGGCTTAGGGCTTAGGGGCTTGGGGGCTTAGGGCTTAGGGGCTTAGGGGCTTAGGGGCTTAGGGGCTTAGGGGCTTAGGGTTTAGGGTGTGCCTAAACGGGAGTCCGGCTTGCGTCCAGTGGCAAACGGGTATGCAGCATCTGGAACCGAGACCCCCCAAGAGTCCTCTCAACCCAACCTCCGGACCAAGAGCATGTCGTCCAAGGAGCCTTGTGGAAGACGTTCCATTGCCCCCGCCCGACAAGAAGGCATGCAAAGATGGTTTTGCAGGGAGATGATTTGTCTTTTAAAATCCTAGGGCTTAAGTCTGTTCTCTTTTGGCCGGATACTTCCCCGCGTCACAGAGAAGGTGAGGTTTCAGGCGCGAGTCAGCGAGCGCGACGCCGTTCTCTCCGTGGCGGTGGAGTCGGACGTTTGCTTGATGGATGAGTCCCAGAAAGGTTCCCGGCCATGCAGCTTTATAGACTTTTCGACTGAAGCGCTGTAGGCTTGTAGGCTTTGGGTCCAACACCCCTAGAACCCAGACCCTGGGCCTCCCCAGTGCCTTGCCGGCATTGGACACATTCCTCCCCCCCCTAAAACCCTAAACCCTAAACCCTAAACCCTAAACCCTAAACCCTAAACCCTAAACCCTAAACCCTAAACCCTAAACCCTAAACCCTAAACCCTAAACCCTAAACCCTAAACCCTACACAGCCCATCATCCTGACAATGAAGGCGAGCTCTGCTGTTGCTGATGGGCACCGGCAGTTCGCCTGCTCTTTCGGAGATTGTCCTGCTGCGGTGGCCACCTAAACCCTAAACCCTAAACCCTAAACCCTAAACCCTAAACCCTAAACCCTAAACCCTAAACCCTAAACCCTAAACCCTAAACCCTAAACCCTAAACCCTAAACCCTAAACCCTAAACCCTAAAGCCCAAACCCTAAACCCTAAACCCTAAACCCTAAGCCCATCCTACTGCGCATGTACTTTGAGTGACCGCTCCGTGCGCATGTATGCTGTCACACCAACGCCAAAGCCAAACGTGCTTTGTTGCTTTCTGGCGGAAGCCTAGCCTAGCAAATCTCGCCCCACTCCTGGCACGGGACATGCAGACGCCAACTGCCTCCATGTGACAGTATGTGAGCGAGCTTTGCGACAAAAAGCGTGCCCTAAACAAGAAACCCCCTGCCCTGTTAAGCCCGAAGCCCATTTACCCATCCTTAAGCCCTAAACCCCAAACCCTAAACCCTAAACCCTAAACCCTAAACCCTAAACCCTAAACCCTTTGTGCAGGGTTGTAGCGCCAGAGGGTTTGAACTGCGGCTTGGCATGTTGACATCAGCACGAGACATCTCGAGCCAAGACGAAGAGAAGTGCCGCTGCACCTGAACCCTTGAACCCGAAGCCTCAGCTGCTGCTTCAGGGTTTAGGGTTTAGGGTTTAGGGTTTAGGGCTAGAGCTTCTGCAGATTCCGCTCCCGAAGCCCTCCAATTCCCAAGCCCTTCCCATTCTCCCGTGATTGCCAGCTTTCTCAGGGCTGGCCCCTGCTTGGAGGCACCGGTTCGGAGCGCCTAGTGGGGCCCGAAACCCTAAACCCCTAAACCCCTAAACCCCTAAATCCCTAAACCCCTAAACCCCTAAACCCCTAAACCCCTAAATCCTAAACTTCTGAGCGGGGCTCCCTGTGAAGCCCATGGCCTTTTTCACAGGGTCGCTCCCTACTCACTCCCGGCATTGTTGTAAGTTCAGATGATTCTAAGTGCCTCATACCGAAGAGGATCTCTTATTTGACCAAGGATCCTCAACTATGAGCAATCCCCACGTTTAGACCAATCCCTAAACCCTAAACCCGAAACCCTAAACCCTAAACCCTAAAACCCTAATCCACACAACTCAGATGCTCAGAGCCCAACTTGGGAAGCTTGGCTCTCGAAGTTTGCAGCCCTGAAGCTCGTAAACCCTGAACCCTACCCCGCGGCAAAAACCCCGAACCCGAATCCAACCCTAAACCCTAATCCCCAAACCCCAAACCCCAAACCCTAAACCCAAGCCTGAACCTAAACTCCTAAACCCTATAACCCTATAACCCAAAGCCTAAACCCTAATCCCCAAACCCCAAACCCAAACCCAAACCTAAGCTTCTAAACCCTATAACCCTATATAGCCCTGAACTCCAAACCCCAACAGCACTTGAGGTTCTTCGAGTTCGTGGAGTGGTTCACCTCTGAGGATTGATAGGCCAGAGATCTGCCTGTTCGTTTCACGCGCGTTACGCCCTGCAGCATGGCGTTCGGAAGCTTAGAGATCTGGTGCCGGGCTTCGAGTGTGAAGTTTAGGGGGATTTTGGGGTTAGAGTTTCAGGATCTCAGGTTTCTGGATGTTGACATCAAGTTTCTTTGCAGGGGGTCGACGTGTGCGCGATTGGGGTGGGGGCGAACTCGTCCGATGGCCGTGAGAGAGAGAGGGGTGGGAGCTAGAATTCAATTCTGAACCCTGAGTTCGCAAGCCCCTTTAGAGAAAGGGGCTGCTCTTTTTAGTGATCCGGGTGCAAACTGCTAGGGTTTCTCGAGCTTTCGGGCTTTCAGTAACGAGGGTTTAGGGTTTAGGGCCGGGGTTCAGGGTTCAGGGTTAGGGTTTAGGGTTTAGGATTTCCGATGAGGGTTTGGGGTTTTCGGGATGGTCCTGATCGACGGCATATGATGCAACTCGAAGCTCTATGAGGGTTTGCTTGAGTCGCGCCCTGATGAAGATTAGAATGCAGGTAAGTTCTATTAAAAACAGTGTTACCCTTGCGCTTGACCCTGGTGGTTGTAGATGATCTTACCTTCAGTCCGCAGCTGGCAGGGGGGGGGGGGGGCGTTGTCAAACGACAGCGCCCTAAGCCCTGAGCTGCAGGGAGCGCTACGTGCTTATGCCCTGGTGCAGAGGTCGGAAACTTCAATAAGACAGCTGAGGCTTCCAGGATTCGGATGCTTTCAGGGTGATGGGCGAAGTCGTGGAGGATTCGTGAACAGAACAGTTGCATCAGCCTCAGGATTGCGTGCTGATGTCGTGGGAGGCGTCATCTTTCCCAGGTATGCATGTAGATTCTGTAGATTCTTAGACAGCGAAGCTTCATATTTTCGAACAGCGCCGCAACAGCGGCGGCGTGTTGCATTGTCATCTTGGAGAGTGGGCCTTGTACCTTTGGCCCCTTTGACCTTGCGTTTACATTTGTGCGCAGACCTCGCATTCCGAACTCTGCAGTCGTCTCCTCGTTATCTCAGCAGGGCAGAAGGGCTGCGAAATGTGCGGCCCTGCCCTGGGATCTGACATGCCAAGCTGGAGGCCCCCTTAGTTTTGCTAACTTAATGCTTCTGCTCGTCTTGTACCTTGCTGCCGACCTGCTTTGATTCCTTACTATGGTGTCGCTGGCGACCTCTAATCGCGAAGGCAAGCCAGATCTTCCCGCCATACATGATCAAAGGCAAGGGCAACTCTGATCAAGTCACGGGGTAATTCTTCTATCGTGCTCACGTCATGGTATGTGTATATACATATGTGTGCACATGTGTACGTTTGCATGTATATGTGCGTATGTGCGTATGTACGTATGTACGTATGTACGTATGTATGTATGTATGTACGTATGTACGTATGTACGTATGTACGTATGTATGTATGTATGTAGGTATGTACGTATGTATGTATGTATGTATGTATGTATAGGGCTCCACTCTGCGTTCTTAGCTTAATGGGCTTCGAGGACAGCTTGGTTGCCTGCGCCTCATTCTCAACCTCGCCAGGGCGCGCATGGATGGGAAAAGATGCTGTCCCACAGGGTTTAGGGCCCAGAGTCGATCGTCACAAGCTAATCTCCCCAGAGTGGCTGCCCTAAACCCTAAACCCTAAACCCTAAACCCTAAGTGGCCCCGTTGCACTTTGTAGGAGGTCTCCAGCCGGCAGGTGCCGCCATGCAGCAGTGCTCCCGCAGCCAGCGCCCATGAATAATCATGAGGCTGCGCCGCCTCAACTCCTTCAGCTCCCAGATTCTTTCATGTGGGGGTTTCCGATATTACAGGGGTACCTTATTGGGGTCCTTATTACAATCCTTCCTACCAGGTTCCTCATGTGTGGGTTTCTGCATTTTAGAGGGGTACCGTATTGGGGTCCCTATTAAGATTGAATCCTACAATTAGGGAGTCTATTTTTTGGGGGGCCCCTATTTTTCGTAAACCCCCATGTGCCAGGTCTGCAGAGCGCCCATCGTGGGAACGTCACGACCTGAGCTTGTTTCGAGGTGTGCAGGCTGCGGACATGCAAGAGCTACGGTTTAGGGTCTAGGGTTTAGGGTTTAGTGTTTAGTATTTAGGGTTTAGGGTTTAGGGTTTAGGGTTTAGGGTCTTCCGGGTCACTGCCTGGCTCGGCGACTTGGGCTGAGATTCAACGGGGTGTCGGACTTCGAGAAAGTTGACTTTCGGAAGCCTACCAGAGAGCAAGAAAGCCCAAAGCCTCAGCCAAGAAAAAGTCGGTTTTAGGGTTTAGGGTTTAGGGTTTAGGGTTTAGGGTTTAGGGTTCAAGCCCAGTAACGCCTGCGTGGTTTCGGGCTTCTTTAAGAGTGAAGACTTTTGCAAGACCCTCAGCATCCCTAAGCCCTGCGAGATGGAGCAACTCCGTTCCCATGGAGCTGCAGACCTTTCGGAAACACTTTGGGATGTCCCCCCTCATACTAACAGTCCTTAGTTTTGAATAGGGATTTTACTAGGGGGTACTATTATACCTATGAAGAGCTGTTAGTACACGGGGGGACATCCCAAGAAGCACTTGTGTTCATTTCAGTCGGTTCTTTCTTGAGACAAAAGACCATGGAATGAGAGAGCGTCAAGTTTTGTTTTCGAAGCGGTTCCAAACGCACACCCTCCAAGGACGGCCCGAAGCACACAGCCCTAAACCCTAAACCCTAAATATCTTGTGCGAGTGTGAGAGCCGAAACCCTAAACCCTAAACCCTAAACCCTAAACCCTAAACCCTAAACCCGAGCCCTAAACCCTAAACCCTAAACCTCCGCTCGGCCTAATGGAAGCCAAAGCCTGGACCCCCAGATCTTGCGCTTGGTCCAGTGGCTTGTCGAAGACGCCCAGCCAGGCAAAGGGTTTAGGGTTTAGGGTTTAGGGTTTAGGGTTTAGGGTGTAGGGTGTAGGGTGTAGGCTTTAGGGTTTAGGGTTTAGGGTTTAGGGTTTAGGGCAGACTCAAATTCCGTTGCTCAAACGGGTGCTTGCAGAGTCCAGATGCACTGCTCGTGAGCTGCCCCCGACAGGCTAAGCTCTTCTTTGCTTCCATCCAGGGAGTAAGACTTGCACCCCCGAGGTTTTTAGGGTGTAGGGTTTAGGGTTTAGGCCTTAGGGTTTAGGGTCTAGGTTGTACCCCTAAAGACCTTAAGCACCGTTAAGAAGGGTCCCAAAAACCCCCTGGGTAGGACCTTAAAGGTACATCGTACAGCCCCTACCCTATTCCATGCCATCGAGGGTTCCAAGTATGGGCCCTTAGTTTGGGCCCCTTGTTGCATAACCCTTATATACTACATAATAATACTAAAAATCAAAACAATAGTAATAATAATCATAGTAATAATAATGATAAAGGCCCAGACTTCGGATCCCTATAATCAAGGGTAAGGGACCATATTAAGGGCCCGTGGTTCCAACCTTAGATACCTCAGACCGGAGTCTTATGGAGCCTTCTCTTCCTCCAGTGCTGTCACGTTTCCTGGGCCCAGTGTCGAAGCACCTGCCATGTGGATTGCAAAGAGGCGGTCCGCTGCCCCCTAATCCAACGGCCTTCTGTTCAAGCCACTGATCATGAGGATCTCGCAACGGGTTAGAAGAGCCTGAAAGCCAGAGGAGCTTGTAAATCCACCAGCTCCGTGCACAAAAATAGTTCATTAATCGCCTGGACCCGCAAGCATCCTCAAACCCAAGTCCTCGGAACCCAGCAACCCTAAACCTGTCCACCTGACATGTCAGCATAGACATCACGAAGTTCTGGAGCCTTCCGACGCCCTGCCATGGAGATCCCAACGGCGCTCTGCGGAAGGGATGAGGCCCCACCGCTGATTTATGCATCTTCTTAGGGAACTGTCCTCAAGATCAGAGGACTTGCACTTTAGGGAGTAGGGTCTAGGGTCTAGGGTCTAGGGTTTAGGGTTTAGGGTTTAGGGTTTACGCACAGCTGCGTGCCCAGACGTCTCCTGGTGCGCAGCGGCACGAGACATGCATGTGGATTTGTATGCGCACATGACTATGATACTTTTTCGTGTGTAGAGCAAGAGCCTACAAATCTACAAGGGTTTAGGGTTCACGGTTTAGGGTTTAGGGTTATATATATATATATATACATGTGTATATACATATATGCACATGTATGTATATATGTGTATATAGAGATATGCCTCAATAAGTATGTGTGTGTGTGTATTGGTAGCTGGGGAGCTGAAACAAAAACCACCCAAGACCCAATGCACACACAAGGGGCTGCGTGTGCGAGATACGGCGGTTACTTGAAGGTTCATTCATGGATCGTTCTTTGCACAAGCAAGGCAGCCCATAGCACGACCATACTCAGCGATGTAGGGTACAAATAAGACGTTTAAGGCTGCCCATGAACACCAGGACCATGAACCCTACAACCCTATGTCAACCCTAGACCCTAAACCCTAACCCTCGGGCAGATTTTGCCTGGGTCTTCAAAGACTTGCACCCTCAAACAGATCCATATATTTGAGTAACAAGTATGGGGTTTAGGGCTTAGGGCTTAGGGCTTAGGGCTTAGGGCTTAGGGTTTAGGGTTTAGGGTTTAGGGTTTAGGGTTTAGGGTTTAGGGTTTAGGGTTTAGGGTTTAGGGTTTAGGGTTTAGGGAAGTATGGGCCTCTTGTAGGCTAGAAGGTTTCTGGTCCACATGCTCCACGACATAGAAGAGAAGTGAGTGTATAGGATGGCCTGGAGGCCCTGGGTGCTGTTCTCGGGAGTGTGCTAGAAAGAAGGGACGTAGGATGCCGGTTCCATGGGTACGTTTCTAGGGATGACGGCAGCATGGCGTGTAGGACCCCTCCATTTTTTGGGGGGAGATTCGCCCTAGACCCTAGACCCTAAACCCTAGCCCTAAACCCTAAACCCTTCAAACCCCTTAAAGCCCCTCGTAAAAAATGGTCACCTTGAGCTACTTTGAGGGGCCATGAGTGGCTTCGACCGGAGGTGCTGCCGATGCTGCGCCGTCGGGCGGAAATTCGGGCTAAAGGCGCGCAAACCCTGAACACGAAGCCCTCAGACAAAGACACATGCATGTGTGCATGTACGAGGCGAGTCTAGATACATGACTCTGAAAAGTTCTGAAATGCACACATATACGTAGATGTGTAGTATACATATATATATGTATATACATACATAGATTGATTTTGTGCCCACGCTTTTTTTTATTTGTACATACTCAGATAGAGGTTGAGGAGCTGCAGCTTGGGTATGTTGAGGGCTCTCTTAGGGTTTAGGGTTTAGGGTTTAGGGTTTAGGGTTTAGGGCGGTCTTAGGCAAAAAAATGGTTTAGGGTGTTTTTTTGGGGTTTTTTTTTTGCAAACAAAGGATATAGGGTTTAGGGTTCGGGCTGCTTGTGAAGTAGCAGGCAGTGGGAGGAGACCCGCTGCAAAAAGGGGGTTCTCGCCCCCAGCTGTGCAGGAGGGGACTAAACCCTAAACCCTGAGCGCTGAACCCTGAACCCTGAACCCTGAACCCTGAACCCTGAACCCTGAACCCTGAACCCTGAACCCTGAACCCTGAACCCTGAACCCTAAACCCTAAACCCTAAACCCTAAACCCTATCCGACATCGCGGCCTGTGTGCAAGGCGCACGGCCTTTCCTGGCGGCCTTGTGCCGCGAAGTCCAGAGTGCCCTGGTTGGCCCTGTAGAACTTCGGGCTGTTTTGGGTTTAGGGTTTATGGCTAGGGTTAGGGTTTAGGGTTTAGGGTTTTAGGGTTTAGGGTTTAGGGTTGAGGGTTTAGGGGTGTAGAACTCTGGGTTGTCTTGGGGGTAGGGTTTAGGAGTTTAGGGGTTTAGAACTTTGGGTTGTTTCTGTTCGGGCTTGAGGTCTAGAGTTTAGGGTTTGGGGTTAGGGTGTTCAAAAAAAGGGTTTGGGGTTTTTTCTGTATTTACCAAAGCGTTCATATTTGCGCAAAGGCCCCCATCACACAGGGAGCCTGCAGCTTCGAGAACTGACTGTACAGGATTTGCGTTCCCACTTTGCCTCAAAACCCCGTGCGCGCCCTCAGCTAGCTTTGATGCGGGGGGGGGGGGGGGGGGGGGGGGGCGTTCTGCAAGGGACTTTAGGGTTGAGGGTTTAGGGTTTCCCGAAACAAAAGGGCACCCGACTCGACACCCGGGTATATGTCCGGGAGCTCAACCCCCCCGCAGCCAACCCTTCTGACCTAAGCATGCTCGCCCCGAAGTCCAAAATGGCTCGACGTAGGAACGCAGATCACGGAGTCACTCGGAGATCTCAGGGTAGTTTCGGCCCCTGATATGGTCCCTTGGCCCACTTTGACAAGGCTCTGAAGTACAAGGGGCCACAGAAGGGGTCGGCCCAGACTTTGGATGTTCCCCCTTGTACTAGCAGTCCCT